TTTAAAGAGGAAGGCCAGTAAGACTGGGCAGGACCTGGCATGCACACAGGACAGTGAGAAACCAATGAGCCAGGCAGCCAATGAACTAAGAGAGGTGCAACTGGGGCCTCAGTGTTCAGATGAGGCCTGGATGAGACCAGATCATCCGGTCTTATAGGCCATCCTGATGCCTTTGGCTGTCAAGGGGGAAGCCAGCAGAGTATTTCAAACAAAAAGGAGCATGGTCTTTCTGGAGACTGTCAGCAATACATAAACAGGGTGAAGACTAAAGAGAGGAGGTGAGTACTAAGGTTACTGCAGGAAAAGCTATTATTCATCCAGGAAAGAAACAACTCTACCAGGACAAAATTACTAGAGTCAATGAAAAGTGGTCAGATACCGAAAACATTTAGAAAATAGCACCAAAATAAGTCTGCCATTGAGTATGGGGTATGAGAATAGAGAGTCAACAGAAATGCTAAGATTTGGGGCCTGAACACGTAGGTGAGTTAAAAATCCCATTTACTGGAAGAAAGAAGAAAACGTCGCAGAGAAATAAAAGGAGCATATTGTCAGATAAACAAATTTCAAGTAAATAACAAAATTTTTCAGTACAAATGAGTCCCACGAACTAGCTAAAATCCGCATTTAACTGGGTGGCCTGATGTTTTTGGCCTGATTTTTGTTTTGATTTTGCTTTGCTTCTAAGTATGACTACCTTGATAAGTAAAGAGCTTACTTTGGGACAGGATAACTTTAGGACTCCTACTAAGCCTCCTTGGGGAAAGGTTGATTAACATGTAGATACATACACATGAAGTTCAGAGAAACAGTCTGGGCGGGGGACAAGTACTTAGTAAGTGTCAATCTCACCCCGCCATCTCAAACTCTCACAGGAGACCGAGGACAGAGATGAGAGAGACAAGGGCTGAGCCTAGACCTGGTACCCCAAAATTTAGAAGTCAGGGAGATCTGGAGGACCCAGCAAAGGAGACTGAGGAAGTCTAGAAAGGAAGAAGAAAAGTCAGGGGATGTGATGTTCTAGAAACCAAATGAGCCAAGTGTTTCAAGGAAAAAGAGATCAGTTTCATCCAATGCTGCTGAGACTTAAGAGAAAGGTGAGGATTGAAACTTGACCATGGGTTTTAACCCTGGGGGCCTTCAGAAGAGAAATTTTGGTGTAATGTGAGCAGTAAATGCCTGACTAGAATAATTTCAAGAGAGTACTGAAAAATGGATATATGAATCACAGCAACTCTTTTGAGGAATTTTTCTATAAAAGGATGAAAAGAAAATGCCGGAAGGAAAAACAGGGTCAAGGTTGGTGGGCAGTCTTTTTGTTTTTGTTTTTTAGATGGAGAGATACCAGCAGCTGGGTGTGATGGTGTCCCACCTATAATCCCAGCACCCTGAGGCTGAGGCAGGAGGACTGCAAATTCAAACCCAGCCTGAGCAATTTCGAGATTTAGAGAGACTTTGTCTCAAAATAAATAAATAAAAAAGGATTGTGGATGTAGCTCAGCGCAAAGGTCCTCGGTTCCATTACCAGCACTAGGAAGAAAAAAAAAAAAGATGGGACTGGGAATCTGCTGCCTGCCTCGCAAGTGCAAGGTCCCAAGTTTATCCCCGGTACCAAAAAAAAGATGGAAAACTAGCAGCATGCTTATCATAATAGGGGAAGACTCAGGAAAGATGAAAGGCTAATTAATGATAAGGGATGGGGGTGGAGGAAACGTGGTGGATGGGGAGGGTGGAGGCACTGGTATCCTGGATAAACCCAGGTCTTGGGAGGGGACTTCCCTCCAGCCCCACAGCCTCAGGCGTGTTTGTCAGGGCTAGGAATCCCCCTCCTCCTGCAAGACCTCCCGCTTGGTGGCTTCTGCCTGGATAAGGGTCTTCAGGCCCTTGCAGACACACAAACACAAGAGCTACGCCAACCCAAGAGGGGAGGCCAGGCCCGGCCCGGCCCAGCCCAGCCCAGCCCAGCCCGGGAAGGCCCAACTGGAGGGTTGCACAGAGATCAAGACAGAGGAGGTGGTCCAGGAACAAGACCAGCTCAGGCCTGAACAAAAGGGCCACAATGGCTTTGGGCCTGCCACCCCCAGATGGCAGGTGTAGGGCCTGAGGGTAATGGAGATGGCAGAGGAAACTGCCAAGCCTTGGTGCAGCACAGCCTTGCCCCGGGCAGGGGGATGGCCTAGATGACCTCCCACACAGACTCCACTCTTGGAGCAGAAGTGTTGGGCGGGGCAGCACGGTCCCTAGAGCCCCTGTCAGAATGGAGAACTCTTCCAGTTCACCCCCCAGAGAGCCATGGCCAGTTGCTGAGGGGTACAGCATCTTGCCTGATGCCAGGAAGAAGGGGCAGCCTCTGGTAGGATCAGAAAGACAGGGCCCGTGATAAAATTACCTGGTCACTACCGCAGAGTGACTGCCCATGCGGTCACCACCACACACATGGCCACACATGCCACCCATAACCTCCAAACCACACCAACACCCCCCACAATCATGCAAGTTCACAACCACACATACCACACCTGTACATGCTACATGCTACCACTGAAACACAGCTGCCCAGCCTCCATGTGCACACACACACACACACACACACACACACACACTGTTCCCACACAGTCCTACGCGCGCCCAGCATCTATTTTACAGTTAGTAACTGAGTGTCAGCTACACCTCTGGCCTGGACAATGCAGCATGAAGAAGTGGAGCCCTGAACAAAAGGGAACCTGCCGATGAAGGGTCAGCACAGCACCATCCCAGCAGAGGGACAAGAAAGCAACAATGAATGGGAGAGTCCTGATCAAAGGCCTAGATGCAGGGTAGGAAGTGAGGCAGGACTGTGGCACTGCTGCCTTGCATGCCAAGCTCAGGAGGGTGGGTACTTGTCTAATGGTAATGACAAGTCACTGTGAGACTTTAATAAGGGAGTGCCGTGATCCTGTTTATATCATTAAAATACTACTTTAACTAGAAGGAACCAAGAGAGTAATTTTTATTTCAATTCTCAGAGAAGTAAAGGCATTTCTAATTATGACCAAACCCAGAGGCCATCAAAAATAAGATTAATACATTTAATTACCAAAAAAGCTTTTAATTCTGCATGGCAAGAACTCCATATACAAAGTCAAAATACAAGTGTCAAGCAGGATAGGAGCTCTATTTGTATCACAGAGGGCTTGTTTCCTTAATATGTAAAGAGCTCCTAAGAAATCAATAATGAAAAGACACACATCTAATAAAAAAATTAGCAGAGGAAATTTCACAGAAAAACAAGTAAAAGTGGCTCTTAAATATATCAACAGATGCTCAACCTCACTCACAATGAGAGAAATAAAAGTATAACAAGGTGCCCCTGGCAAAGATCATAAAATCTGATAACACTCCAGTGCCAATGATAGGAACACTCATATCACATGATAGTACAAAGTGATACATTCATGGAGATAATTTGGCAATATCTATCAAATTTTTAATTCAGCATCTAACTATCACCCCAAAGTTCCATTCTAGAAACATACAGACTCAAGTTTAAAATGGGTTAAATAATACTTGTCAAACTATATTCATTTCAATGCCAAGTATCACTTGGGAAGTTGAAGCAGGAAGATCATCTCAAAATAAAATAAAAAGGGCTGGGTCTATATCTCACTGCTCTCTGACTATGACCTAAAAAAGGAAGAGTGAGAGCCAGAAGCCTAGAAGCAGCTTTAATTTTCATCAAATGGGACTGATTAAATACATTATAATATCACATTAAGAAAGAGATTTATCTTAAATAAGAAAAGCCAAGTGCACAATAGTAAATGTGGCATACTTCCCTAAGTTAAACAAAAGTGGTCTCTATAGCTGAGTCTACACCTATGATTAAGGTAGGAAAAACAAAACCGATAGGACTGGTGGCCGGGTGGCAGTCATAGAACCCCGGTAGGATGTTCAAGATTGGCCCTGGCACTGTGGGAACATCAGGGGTTGCATGGGAGTTAAAAGTCCAGGCCTGTTCATGGGCTCACCTGAGAGGAAGGACTGGGTCCTAGGATCCTGAGAAGAAAAGCAGGGGGCTATCAAGAAAGTACTTGAAAGGGAAGGAGTAGCCAGCTGTGGCAGGTGCTCCCAAAGGTCAAGATGGGACTGAAAGATTTAGGGGTTTCAGTTTTTTATGGACATGGTAGGGAGGAAAATCAATGTTCTAATGGGTTGAAGAGGGATTAGTTTGGTGTTTGGTTGGGGAGGGGGTTAAGACAGTCTCACTAGGTAGCCCTGGCTGGCCTCAAATTTATGGCGATCCCCCTACCTCAGCCTCCCAAGTGCTGGGATCACAGGCCTACAGTTTTCTCATTTCTGAGGGCAGGAAGGATTATACCTGCTTCCTTTGGTTGCTATAAGGATGAAAAAGCTGGGCCCAATGACGCCTTCCAACTAACAATTCGCTGTGATAATCCTCTGCAAAATGAGTCATAGGAGTCACCATCTCCCGAACTTCGGGGGACATTTAAAACCGGTGCTGTTACAGGCACAAACTGGTACAATCCCTGGCAAATGTGGTGCACAGTCACCACGGTGCTGGCGATGGAAGTCATCACCACCCAGACAGGGAGGACTCGGGTCGGCTTGTGACTAAGACTCAGGGATTCCCAGGGAGGCCAGAAGCCATGACATTTCTCAGGGAAGATTCCTAGTCGTGGCACACTGCTAAATAAGACAAAACGTCCTTGTTCCCAGAGCCCAGTCCAGGTCCACCCCGAACAAAGGCGCTCCTGCCCCTTGCAAGGGTTTTTACGGCAAAGCACAGCGCCCCGTTCGCACCCCACACCGTCCCGCAGGCTCCGTCCCTTGCAGCACCAGCAGGCTCTGCTCCCTTATCCTGCCCTCAGCTCTGGGTGCCGGTCCAGGCACAGGTCGGCTGCGTCCGTTCCACTGTGAGCAGAGTCTGCCCCGACCCCGGCTCCCCGGAGCGTCCCCACGCCGCCGGGTCAAGGCCCTGCACCAGGCGGGGATCAGGGCAGGCAGGGTGCGGACCCAGTATCCGAGGTAACTGACGTGGGCGAGTCCTGATTGCGGGCCGTCCCTAGGCCACGGCATTAAACAGTTTGCAAAGCGCCTCCCGCCTGTAATTTCATCGGAGACTTTGGCACAACCTTGCCCATGGCCGCCGCTGCTCCCATTCCACGCCAGAGCAAACCGAGGCTGGGACGCGCCAGGATCCCTTCGGCAGCCCGCCCCGGAGCCACGTGGCGGCGTCTGGATTAGAACTCCGACCCGCCTAGACCCAGGCTCCTCCCTCCTCCCCTTTTCGTCTCCCCTCCGCCTCGCTCAGCGCCTGACCAGGGTGCAGAGCTGGGCTCGGGTCTTCCTCGCCTCTGCTGCGAGCCTGGGGTCCTTGGGTTGCCGCGCCGCAGAGGGTAAGTGCGCGGGAGGGGCGACCCACTGCGGTGCAGCCGGGTTGGGGAGCGGAGGGACGCCCCCAACCCCCGGACCCACCTCTCCCTGCTCGGGCCTGGAGTCTGGAATTCCAGCTGCTGGGAGGTTCCGGGACCTCCACTTGCTCCCGCGTGGCCTCCGACGGAGGGAACCAGGGCGGGGTGCAGTCTGTCTTTGGGGGTACTGTGGAGGTGAGGAGCAGACGCCCGGCGGGGTCAGGTAGGTCTAGCGGCTGGTGGAAAACGGTTGTGCTGGGAGCTGGCTTTGGGGGGCAGCAGGGGGGTCGGAACCGGCTCCACCAGTCCGCAGACCGGCTGTGGGAAGACATTCTTGCCCTGTGAGTCTCTTCCCTGGGGTGTGTCGGAGGCGGTGGACTGGAAGGGGAAGAGTGGGAGCTCAGGGGGTGGCTGCACCCCTCCGAGCACCACAAGGTATTCGAGGAAGCAGCTGTACGCCCTCTCCCCCAGGGCCTGCAGGCGGGGCTCCTCCTCCCAAGGGAGGCCTGGAACCTTCTCAGGTGTGTGGCAGATAGGGGAGAGAAGTCTTAGGATTCTTACACCAGCGGGAGAGCAGGAATGCTTCTGTCTTAGAGATAAGGCCACAGGGTCAGCCACAGCAGCCTCTGCCGGCCACCTAGAAGTACTAAAGCTGAGATCTGCAGCCAGGTGTGACTTGATGTCCAGTGGAACTCCACAGCCCTCCCCAGAGGCCAGGACTTGGAGGGAGAAGACTGGGACCAGAGGAAGGTCTCCAGGGTGGAGCCCTTCCCAGCTGCACAGTCCTGTCCCGGACTCTGATTCTGATTCCCAGAGGACAGGCACCAGGAGGGCTGAGACGTTGAGAAGGCATTGCACACACTCTCCCTCCCGGGCCATCCTGCCCTCTCGGCCCCTCTGACAATTCAGCATCCCCCATACCACTCGGCTTTTACCGAGTACCTACTATGCGCCGATAAGTAGGAAGCAGTGAGCAAAGGGGAGCGAGCTTCGGCAGGAAGAGCATCCCAGCAGGAGCAAAGCCCCAAGCCCTCCAGTGTGACCGGAGCAGAAAGAAGCAAAGTGACTTGGAGAGGCGAGGAAAAGGCTATGGCATCAGGTTCGAGTCTAAGCAGTGTCCTAGAGAGTCCTAAGCGAGGGAGTGGCACAGTCGTGGTTGAGAGGTGGGAGTCACAGTGGCTGGGGCCAAAGGGGAGCCCCAAGGTATCACCGATGCCTGGAGGTGCAAGCCCACAGTCTTCACTGGAGAGGTATGTGCCCTCACGGTCCTGCCAGCCAGCACACCCATGTGAGGTGCATCAGCACACCCGCCCATCCACACCCTCTGAGTCACTCCGGGGCTACAGCATACATGATTCGAGGGCCTGGCCAAAACACATCTCACCACAAAGTCCCAGCGACCAGCGTGGTCAGACGCTAGATCTGGTGTCCTCGCAGCGGTGAGGCCACAACCCTCTGTGCCCCCCCAATCAGCCTCCCATCTTCACCACCTGCTGGCTGAGAGACCTTCACAGGCCATTCCTCTCTCCCAGCCTCAGTTTCCCTTCTGTAGAATGGATTCACTGGATGCTGTTGCATCCACAAGGGAGCAGTTTCGAGAAGCTGGTCCTGCGCAGGTGTCCAGCAGAGGAGGGGAGGGGCCTTGGTGGGCAGCGTGGGCCTGGCATGGCAGCCTGGCCTTGAACCTAACTGTCCCCTCAAGTCAGTGACTTGATCTCCCCGACTTCGCAGTGATGAGTAGCTGACACTTACTGAGCACTCACTATGTACTGTGGACTTTTTACGTCATTTGATTTTCAGCTTCATCTGTAATGGGGAACAGAGTGGTCTCCACTTCCTGGGGTCATTATAATAGATTAAATGAGAGGTCCTGCACAAACAGGGTCAGCTTTGCTTATGGCTCATGCTCAGTAAATGGCCCTCATTACCAGGAGCACATGTCCCCTTCCTCCCACCTCCCAGCATATTAGCGCTGTAACTTTGGGTAGGTTGCATGTTCTCCCTGTGCCTCAGTTTCCTATCTGCAGCTTGGAAAGAACAATAGTTTCGATTTCATAGGGTCCTTACGGTGATTGAGCGGGTCTATCCATGTCAAGGACAGCAGCTGGCACACGCTCTGTGTTCCAGGAATGTCACCCATTCACTCATGGAATGGTTTTCTGTCTTGCTCCCTCAGGTAGGCACGGTTCCCAGTGCCCTCGCCAGGCACCATGGACTGGAAGACATTCCAGGCCCTCCTGAGTGGGGTGAACAAGTACTCCACAGCATTTGGGCGCATCTGGCTGTCCGTGGTGTTTGTCTTCCGGGTGCTGGTGTACGTGGTGGCCGCAGAGCGCGTGTGGGGTGACGAGCAGAAGGACTTCGACTGCAACACCAGGCAGCCCGGGTGCACCAATGTCTGCTACGACCACTTCTTCCCCATCTCTAACATCCGCCTCTGGGCCCTGCAGCTCATCTTCGTCACGTGCCCCTCGCTCCTGGTTATTCTGCACGTGGCCTACCGCGAGGAGCGGGAGCGGAAACACCGCCAGAAGTATGGGGAACAGTGCACCAAGCTGTACAGCAACACAGGCAAGAAGCACGGCGGCCTGTGGTGGACCTACCTGCTCAGCCTCGTCTTCAAGCTCATCATCGAACTGCTGTTCCTCTACGTGCTGCACACGCTCTGGCACGGTTTTGGCATGCCACGCCTGGTGCAGTGTGCCAGCGTGGCGCCCTGCCCCAACACTGTGGACTGCTACATCGCACGGCCCACTGAAAAGAAGGTCTTCACCTACTTCATGGTGGGCGCCTCAGCAGTCTGCATCGTGCTCACCATCTGCGAGATCTGCTACCTCATCTCCCACAGGATCATGCAAGGCCTGGGCAAAGACAAGCTTTCAAGGGGCAACGGCGCCTCCTCCTCCACCTGCCGCTGCCACCACAAGCTGGTGGAAGCTGCAGAACCGGGTCCCAACCTAAGCGATGCCAAGGTGCAGGCTTCAGCCCCCAAGCTGACCCCCATCTGACCACAGGCTGGGGAGCGGGGCCGAGAGGAGTTGCAGGGTAGAGGGCTCCTGGGGTGCTGGGCGCCTTCACTTGGAATTCACTAAGCTATCCAGTTTCATTTGTGCAGACATCTTCAGATGCCAAGTTCTGTGCTCCCTACCTGAGTAGAGGTAACACCAAAGTCCTGGGAGGCAGACATTTGAACAAGTAAAGTCACTATACATGTGAGGGTTTGCTTGGCTGTTTCTAGGGGGCTTCTCCCTAACTGCAGGGGGTGATCTGTCCAGCTCGCCTGAGGAAACAGGGCTTGAGAGATAAGAAGTGCTCAGGGGCAGAGATAGCAGCAGGCAGGGGCCTGGGGCCGGGAGAGACAGACATGCTTGCTCGCTCTGGGCTAGAAGCACTGGACCAAAGAGAACGTGCATTCCCTGGGAAAAGCTGCTCAGAGTCCCCAAGTGGGAAGAAAGGTCTCCTCCAGCTCCGGGGAATCTGCCTCAGAGTGAGCGTGGATAGAGGCAGTGCGGGGACCCAAGCCTGCTCAGACACCCAGGGATCCTCTGGATCACAGCTTCCTTCAGTGGCAGCTCCCCTCCCCGAGACTCTCCCCCCAGCTCAGGCAGTGACGCTTCAGTCTTCCCTCCCAACTACCTGCATGCAGCCTGGTGCTCTCCTGTTGCAAAAATTTGGGTGGATGTGTCCATTGAAGAACCCAAGGCAGTTTCCTTGAAATCAATAAAGCTGTGTTTTATACAGGGCAGGCTCTGTGTTCTGTTCTACACTTCCACCCACAGCTCCCTCAGGGCAAGGAAAGCAGCCCCGGAAGGGGAGGACCCCTGGGTGGGGCTGAAGCTTGGGTGCAGACTGTGACAGGCTAGGGCTAGGGCTGCTGGCCAGAGAATCTGCCCATACACGTGATGGGCTTCCAGTTATGGCCACAAGAGGGCGCTGCGCCCCTCTAAAACAACCTCTAGCGTTTGAAATTGGACTCTGCCCAGAGTACACGATCACTGCCATTCCCATTACAGACTATATTCCTTCTTCCTTTGTCACCCAATCACTGCTATCACAGACCCGCCCTCTGTGCACACAATCCCGACTGTTCATACTCTCACTCTTTACACTCAACAGTTCACGCAGCCTGCTTTGACGAGCGTGTGCCGTCTCAGCCTCAGCCAGCGGCTACTTCTGCTCATTTCATCTTCGAGCATTTTCCCCTCCCCAGAGCCTTGGGAGAGAGGTGGGACTGAGCCCAGGGTGTGCAGAGTCTGAGGAAGACAGAAACACAAACTCCTCTCTTGCACTAACTAGCCCAGCCCCTCTCCCAAGACGGTCAAGACCTGAAATTCTGGGGACACCAACGTCTCAGACAAGAGTGAGGAGCCAAAGGAGATGGAGGCTAGATGGGCCTGGAGGATGTTTAGTGGCCATCATAGACCTGGCCAGGCGCCAGAAAGCCAGGAGCCAATAAGCCGAAGGTCAGGGCTCTGTAAACAGCACAGGGCACTGTGTAGACAGGTTGCGCCTCACCTTCGCTCTCACCTGTGGCCTTTCGGCGGAGGACGCCAAGGAAGGTAAAGGGCCCCGGGCAGGGCTGACACAGTCCCCCGTGCTCGCCCCCCAAGTCGGAATCAGCGCTTGACCTCCCCAGAAGCATAGCTCCTGCACACTACACCTTGAACGAGTTTTCGGGCCCTCAGTCACGTCATCTGTACATTAGGAACCATATCAGGCAGGGTCCCAGCAGAAAAGAGTGACTTCAAAGAACATTTCCTAGAGAAACTGATTTCAAAGGTGTGGGTTTGACCGAGGAAACCCACAAGGGGGACTGCTTAGTGCCAGGGTAACTGGTGGATGAAGCGATGGTTGACTTGGAACACCCAGCTGAACTGAATCAGCATGGTCTGGGCGTGGAAAACCCACCTGAAGATTATTGTCGGTAGCATAAAAAGAGGGGGGGTGGGGGGATCATAGGCTGTTGATTTTCTAGAAGCTTGATGCGGCTGGTTTTCCTGATGCAAACTTGGCTGTTCCTGTTGAAGGAGGAGCTCAGGTCCTTGCTGTTGCTACGAATGGCTGCTGTTCTTTTCAGGGGAGCTCTGATCTTGTAGTAACCATAAGCAGCCCTACCTGGCTTCAGTGTAGATCTCTCAGCCTGGTAGCACAAATCCTTCAACCCACTGGTATAGACTTTCTAGCTTCCACCACCAGCCTTCGGACCTTCCCAGTGAAGACCCTCGATACGGACAAGCATCAAATATTGCCATGGGCTCTAGGCCACTGGCTGGATTTGTAGAGGACATTGCCTTGGACTCTAAGCCCTTAGGTGGACTTGTGCAGGACACTGCTGTGGGATCCAGGCCCTTGGCCCTTGGTGTGCGGTTAGATCTCTTGCACTCCTCTGTATTTGACTTTTTGGGTGACTATTATAAAATAATCCTATAAATTATGTGTCCTGTATTAAATCTGTTCGCTTGCCAACCCTGACTATAGCAGTAATGATGGGTGGGAGCTATAGGATGGGATGCATGCCCCCAAAGCAACAAAATATACCCACCGCTGCACTTTTGCCTCTCCTGCTTGTCTGTAAGTAGCACCTACAGACCTAACAGAGCCAGAGGTCAGAGGGCAAGGAAGCCTGATGGAGGTCAGCGTCGCAGGGCACCATGCAGGGTGGAACAGGGTGGAGAATAATTCTGAGGGGCAGAGGAATTATAATCAGCAAAGCACTTAGGACAGTTTGTACTCATAGGGCTGTTGTAGAGATCACAGGCGACGTTGGTAAAACAGTGGCACTGTGCCAGTGTATCCAATAAACACCAGCTCTGCGTGTGCTTAGAAAAGTCTCTACTGATGCTCTGGCTGCATCATAGATCAGCCTGGATTGGGCTGGATGGTTACAAAGGTCTTAGGGAAGAGGCATGGCCACTCACTTGCAGCTGTGTGTTCCAGTATTTCCTGGGTGGCTCCAGCTGCCTGTAAAGTGACCTAGCTGTCAGAGCAACCAGAAAACATCCTCAGCTACACCAGCAGGGACTGAAGGCTCAGCACGGACTGAGCTTCCAGTCCTGGCCACACTCCTCAGGATGCAAGCCAAGGCCATGGAGGGAGGGGTATTCCAGCCCAAGGCATCCTGCTTTTGGCCTAAGAACTGATCTGAGTAATGCAGCTCCCTGATCTCATACAGCATGAGTTTGGCTACTGTATACTAAGTTCCCAGCAGGTATCGCTGTCACCACAGGATGGCCCTCACATTCCCTGGGCCTTCTTGTGCCTCTGACTTCTTGTTCCCTACTGCATCAGGAGCTACCGTAAGCCTCCTTCAATCTTCACACAACAGACAGAGAGATCTTGTAGCCTTCAAGTCCACATCTCCTGCACATCATCAGAGCTGCCCTGAGGCTCCAGGTAAATGCTATCATTTTGTCTTCATTCTCCCCGGACCAAATCTCCGCATGGACTGAGCTGGTATCCCCTAAAAATCCATCTGTTGAAATGAACCCCCACCATGTGATGGTATTAGGTGGGGGGCTTCAGGAGATGATCAGGTCATAAAGGTATTGGGGGTCACGACTGCAGATGGGGCAGGACTGAGCAACAAGATGAGCTACAGGTAGCACTGAAGCAAAGACTGGCCACGAGGGGAGTTCTGCAGGACTCTCGTCCACCCCTTGGCTCTATCATCGCCCAGCATCATCCCAGAAAGAGCTTGGCCACCTGGGACACCAGAAGCAGACACGAAAGTGCGGACAAGAGGACAGTGCTGTGGCGCAGACTGCACAGCTGGGGGCAGGCCCTGCATTTGCCAACCACCTCATAACCTATTCCCAGCACAGCGTCCCGGGGGATCCTGCCAAAAATCTAAATTAGTCCATTTCACTTCCTGCCCAAAACCCCAAAGGCATCTTATGCTGGCCTCCATGACCTACAAGATCTGTCTGTCACTCTTCTGAGCTCCCTCCTCCTTGGCCCTGGCCAAGATGCCTCCCTACCCAGGCCTTGCTGACTCTCCGTGTTCCTCAAGCAGGAAACCCCAGGAACATTCCTGCCTCAGGGGCTCTGGAGACCAGTCTCCTCCTGCCTGGATGCGCTGGCCCCCAGACAGCTATAGGGCTGCCTCCCTTCCCTCAGGCTCACCTCAAACTTCAGCTGCTGAGTGAGAATTTCTCTTCTCCTCTACCTAAAATTGAAACTGGCCACCACTGTACTTTTTTTTTCCTCATTTGAGTTTATTGGTACATTTTAGGTATACAGTACAGTTACATCCATCATTGGGATCTTGTACCTTTACATGACAGGTCTTAGTTCTCATTTTTCTACCACTGTACTATTAAAGTGTACAGTCATCCATCATTGGGATCTTGTACCTTTACATGACAGGTCTTAGTTCTCATTTTTCTACCACTGTACTATTAATTCTCCCTACTTTGTCTCAAGCACATATCTCTGATATGCTCTGTATTTTACTTTTAGTCTTTTTTTGTTTAGTTGGTTATTTTGTTTTGTTTGTTTGTTTGTTTTTTTGAGGCAGGGTCTCCCTGTGTAGTTGAGACTGACCTGGAACTCACTATGTAGCCCCGGCTGGTCTCGAACTCACAGCGATCCTCCTACCTCAGCCTCCTGAGTGCTGGGATTACAGGCGTGTGCCACCACACCCAGCTTTACTTTCAGTCTTTTTCTTTTTTGACAGTACTAAGGAATTGAACCCAAGGATTCTCTACCACTACCACTATACCACATCCCCCACTCTTTTTTTTTTTTTTCCACTTTGAGACAGGATCTTGCTAAATTGAGCTTGAACTTGAAATCTTCCTGCCTCAGTCACCTGAGTAAGTGGAATAGCAGGCATGTACCACTGCAGCCAATATTTTTTTTTTAAACCAGAGTTTAAAAATGTAAAATAGTCAACCGAAACAACAGAGCGCCACAAGGCAGTAGCTGAGCCCTACGGAGCACAGAGCTGCAGTGACTAGTGAGGCCAACAGGGGAATCCTGGAAGAAGAGAAAATGACATCTGTGAAAATACCTGAAAGGTTCTCAGGAGCCCACATGTGAGCGTCCTTCAGGCAGAGGAAGCAGTTGGGACAACGGCAGGGGCACACAGAAACCCAGGAATAGTTAGATAAAGCTGGTGACAGAGCAGGAGGGGAATGAGGCCAGAAGTGGCCAAGGCCTGCAGGCTGGAAAGCCTAGGCCTTATCCTGATGGCAATGAGGAACCACAGAAGGGTCAGACAGGACAACGTTATATGCAGATCTCTAGGAAAGTGCGGAGGCTACTGAGGTGGTTGTAGTCTGAACGCGACAAAGGGGAAGAGCGAAGTGTGGGGTTCCAGGGACAGTGCCCCACAGAATGGCCAAGCTGCAGGGATTAATATCTTGGCTGATGCCAGCTCCTTTCACCTCCAGGGAAGGGACTAGATTAGTTAAAAACAGGCCTCCAGAGTCCCTGAGGAAGGGGTCAGAGCAGGGCGAAGGCAGCCTTGACGTCATCCCTCACCCTCCACTAGGAGATTGGACGGGAAAGGCTCTGGGGAGCAGAGGCTGCAGTGGAGGCATGGGGAGAGCCAGTCTCCAGGGGCCTCGGTTCCCATGCCCTTCAGGGTCAGAAATAAGTGGGCGCAGTTGTCTACTCTGAAATCCCAGAAGGGCCAGCTCGGCCCAGTCCTGAGAGAAAGGC